CCTGCCAGATCCCCAGCAGTCACACACACACACCCTACTGCTGCAGCCACGCCAAGGGTTCAACTCCACTGCCTGCTAGTACTCTCTGCAGAGACACCAAACTTAGAAAACATTCAGGTACCAGTGCCCAGGCTGAAGACTCTGGGGTCTTCTTAGAGTGGAAGCAAGCAGCCTCCCCTTGCCATCCTGTAGTTCCAGAAGCCCTGGCACTCACAACCACATCAACTCATTGGCCCAGCCCATATATCCTGAGGTCTCTGGACCAAATGCACATATACAGCCACACAACACCTCTAACTGAAATCCCAGTAGTCATCAGCAACCAAGTTAGATGGGAAAGCAACACAGAAGCCAACTAAATTCAACAAACAAAAATAATACCACAAACAGCTCAATTATCAACAAGTAGCTGAATAAATTCTTAGATAAGGACACAACAATCGTGTGGTAAAAAAGAACATCTGTCTCCTTTTAAAATTAATATTTTTAACTTAGAGATTTTAATATTGGAGCTTTGTTATCTAATCAATTTCAACTCCAGACTTGTATCAGTAGTTGTGGCTTTTGTCTATACTGAAAAAATTAATTTTTTAAGAATAGATGTGGAAGGAAATAAATACTTTAAATGTGGTTAAATATTCTCTATTCCTTCTCTCCATTTGTCCCATATACATTGACACTAAGCTAGATTTGTGTTTGACTATACATACCTCAATCACTTTTGGAAGCCCCTTACCACCAAATGGACCGACCCCACTCCAGTCTAATTAGAACAAAGTAACCTGGGACAGACCACAGTTCATTGTTTCTCGTTTGTTTTGGAGGAGTTCTCATCCAGCAGTGGTCAGGGGGTCGACCATGTTGCTGCTGATCAAACTTGGGTTTCCTGCACACAAGGCAAGTGTTTAGTCCAGTGAGCTATCCCTTTCTTCCAGAAAACTTTTGTTAATTTTTTTTAATGTAGGAGTATTGCTATTTATTCAGCCATTGATTGGGCTGACTGAATTGAGGATGAACTCCACCTTACTTTTTTTCCCCCCTTTTTATAAATTTATTGAATCACTGTGAGAGCAGTTACAAAGCTTTCGGGTTTAAGTCTCGGTTATACAATGATGAAACACCCGTTCCTTCAGCAGTGCCCATTTTCCACCACCAAAACCCCCCAATATACCTCTCATCCCACACCCTTCCCCTACCTATGGGGTGGATGACTTGCACATTACTCTCTCTCTACTTTGATCACATTCAATATTTCAACACCAGACCCACCATTATTATTTGGAATTTTACCCCAACACTCAGATCTGCTGAAAAGGCAAGCATAGACAATTTGTTTTCTACTGCTGGTTATGAATAACATATAATAACAATTTTGGAATTTCAAAATTTTAACAATTAAATCTGGAGGGATTTCTGCCAAAACATGCTGGGTTCCGAGATTTGTTCCTGAGTATCTGGGATCATGGCCGTTAAGCAGGTTGATCAGGAGCCAGAGAGGCCATTTGTGGGCGGCGACCTGGGGGTCTCGTTGGGGCGGGGAGGAAACGGCCGGCTCCACCCCCATCCTGTGAGGCCCCACGTGTCTCGTCACTGCAAGCCCAAACCTGACTGTCCAATGGCCTCTGGAGGATAGTGGCCACCAAGCCACCAGAGGGTACAGGCCAAGGCACAAAACCTATTCCCACCTGGGGTTGCCCAGCACCGGTAACCTACTGCAGGGACCTAACGCATTTCTGCCAGAAGCCTCTGGATTCCAAGAGTTGTTTCTGAGTCTCTGGGATCATGGTCGTTAAGCAGTTTGATCAGGAACCAGAGAGGCCTTGCCTCCAATTATATAGCTGAGTTGGAGGTGTTTTGTGGCTGTGTCTCCCATATACCTAACTTTTAGCCATTTGCCTCCTTGGTAAACTTGGCCCCAAGTTGTTGGGGTCTGGCCAAAGGCACAACAGCAATTTGGGGGTGCCTAGAAGTCTGAAGGCACCATCAGGCTGCTGATGCACTCACCTCACAGGTACAGACTGACCTGCTAGCAGCAGCATACCCCAGTTTTGTTAATTTTTGAAACTACAATGTTTCTGATATTTAGCCAGAGTTGGTAACTACTAAGTCAAATTAACCAATCATAAATCTTGTTCGTTACGGCTTATATTTTAAGTATATACATATGTATGCATACATTCATTCCAAGGTGCCTGGAATACAAAGTTCAATGTGCCTCTCCATGTAAACAAAACATGTTAAAGTCATTTATAGCTATACTATCAGTGAGATACATATTTAACATGTCATGATAACACAGAAGAGAAACAGCTAATCCACCAATGAAAGGTCGGGGAAAGATTGATAATTTGTGTTATAATAGAAGATAAGCAGAAATTAACCAGAGAAAAGGGTGGTGGGAAGAAAATCCAAGCATAAATCAGAAGGAAGAACAAAAGAAAAAAGAGGTGGGAAACGCGATTGATATGGGCAATCCCACAGTTTTATGTTACCAATCAAGTAGTGGGCAAGAAATTAAGAAGAGTAATCCAGAGCTTAGGGAACCAAAGGTAGTCATCATACCATGATGCAGAAAAATGAATAATTGTGACATTCAGGAAGAGCTTTCCAGAAGGCAGACAGACGTGTGAGTAAGGTAAGGAGAGTGTGTGAGCAAAAACATGGTCATCAGCAACTAGATGCTAGTTAAAACCATGACATGCATGAGCCTGACCAGGCAAAATTGCAGAGAAAGGAGCTGCGGCCGACGACCCTTGGGAAATAGCAGAGGCAGATAAAGAGGAGGCTCTGAAGAAGGAAGTGGACACAGTCAGAAAAAAATGAATAAAAGATAAGGCAACAGAAATGACAATCTTTGGAGAAGGGCCAAATGAGGATGTGTGGAAGCCAGGTCAGAGATAAGTAGGGCCTTGAAGAAAATGCTCTGGCAAGTCCACATCTCACCTATCACTGCCCTTCGAAATTGCAAAAGGACTTAAGTTTCAATTCCCTACATTATAAAATTAAAAAACCAAAATTCTCCATGGAGTAAAACACATAGTAATATCAAAAAAGGAGCGTACAAACAAATGTCAGCACTATATGAAACATTAAGACACCTAAGAATCCCACAAATCATTCAGATCCCTGGAAATCTACACAGTGGAACCACCTTTTTTTGACATGTTTTAAACCATATGGATTTCTAAAGAGCTACTTTTAAAAATAAGTTTCTTACACAACTTTTGAAAAGTATGCAAGCATAAACTTTATCAGATTGCTATTTTAAAGGTATCCTACAGAAAATGTAAAATTCAAAAAATATTATTATGAATGCTTGGGTTGGAGCGATAGCATAGCTGTAGGATGTTTGCCTTGTGTGCAGCCAGCCCAGCAGAGCCAGGTTCGATTTCTTCACCCTCTCGGAGAGCCCAGCAAGCTACCGAGAGTATCTTGTCCACGAGGCAAAGCTTGGCAAGCTACCCGCAACGTATTCAATATGCCAAACACAGTAACAACAAGTCTCAGAGAAATGGAGATGTTACTGGGCCCGCTCGAGCAAAATCGATGAACAACGGGAAGACAGTTATATGAAAAGTTTACCTGATATATCAAGTCTATAACATATAGTACTGTACAGTAAAATTTACACAATCCCCAAGCTATAAAAACTCTCTATATGCCTCTCTATATACATATTTAACAAGCTTAGGAATACTTCAAGTTTCATGGTTTGCTCTTAAGTTTGCTTTTGGAATTTGAACCCATAAAGAATATAAATTATATAATTATAACTAGTTATATTAATTATTGTGTAATAGCCATTTATCTACAAAGTTTAAGCTCTCAACCACTATCTCCTAAACAATCTCTATTAACTACTCCCTCACATCAAAGGAGAGTACAAGATAACTTGTACCTTAATCTTAATAAGTAGTGGTAGATTAAATCCTTAACTTATCCTACCAAAAATCGCAAAGTTCCTATAGGCTGGGAAAAGTATCTCCAAATATCACAAAAGGTGGAAACGTTTATTTAAAATCTGCATTTTTCCTCAGACTCAGTATTACATAAATCGTGAGTTTAACTCACATTTCTTAAGTCCTATATGTTGTAATGTAAATATAGTGAAAAATACTCAAAAAAACATACTGATTTTAAATATACACAAACTAAACCAAAATCAAATGTACTGTGATATTTTGAGCAGGCTTCAAACTTCTGAAACATCCTAAAAGAGGCTTCTGACAGTAACTTTTTCCATTCATTATGTGTTGTTGTTTCTGTGTCTTCCCCCTTCTGCCTCAGGAAACATGGGGCGCATTGATTCATTGCTACGGATTTGTAGAGCAATTCTAGAGAGCCACTAAACTATTAAAAAAAACCTTCCATGATTGGCCACACATATTAAATTGTATAAACTAAACTGATCGTAGGACATTCTGGCCCATCCCTGAGCCGCACCACTGGCAGGTGTCACCACAAAGCCACCCCCTCCCCAACAAAAACCCTAAACAGAAAAAATAAATGGCGGTTTATATTTCCAAAAAATTAATTAGTATTTTAATAGCTAAAAAAATCTAGTAGCAAGATTATTCCTAATGTAGGAACATCATTCATGTGGAAATTTGGGAAAAAATCGGTAGAAGAGAAAAAAAAGTTGGAAAAAAAAAAGTTGAACCATTTTTACATATTAGATAGGATGATCAATTACCTCAAATAGCCATTTAATGACTAGGATTAATTTATGGGGTTTTTCCTTTCAATTTTATCTGCAAATAAACAATCCCAATATATGAGACAGGGCAAACGCAGCCCACAGAAACGAGTGCCTCGTCTTTAAAGAAAGATCGAATGTGGTTCCAAACGCAAAGAGATGCTGAGTGTGGGTACTTGAAGAACTGATGGTTCTATTCCATAAGAACACTATTTCCTAGGGAAATCGAATGCATACTTTCGCAGAATCGAGGAATACGTGGCCCGGTGCATGCCCGCTCCCCACGGGTGGGACTCACATGTACCTTGCCCGGCTCCTGGGTGGTACCAGGCCACCTGCTGGCATCACTCATGGGCATCCTGCGCTTCGGGGCAGGCTGGCGCCCAGGCTCCTTGGGGTCAACTTGCGGCCCATGCGGTGGGAACACCAGCCCCGGGTAGGTGACATACACAGGGCCTTCGGGCTGGCCCAGCAGGGCCTCGGGCAGGCCACGGGGGTCACTGCCCGGAGCCACCAGCACGTCCCCGCTGGCACTTTCCGAGCAGTTTCTCGGCATGGGACATGGGTACAGCACCGAGGGTGGTGGGGCCTTCTCAGTGGCAGCCTGGAGGAAGCACGGTGCCAGCCGAGGCACACCAGCGGGCAGGACAGGAGGGGGCCCGAGCTGCTGAAACACTGGCTGCATCGGAGGCGGAAGGAAACTCCCCCTGCCCGGGCTCTGTGCCACCATGACTGGCATGTTGACTTTATAGAGGTGACCTAGAAAAACAGAAAATTCTGTCAGTAACGGTACTCCCCTCCCCTTTTCCAAAAAATAACACTCATGCTCAACTGGCAGCCAGGAGATGCAAGGAAAGTGGTTGTCCATAGCTTGTCTTTGCATGCTCAGGTCTATTTCTTTGCTGCTTGCCTCTTGATGAGAGGTAGCCCAGATATGTAATTTTGTGTTCCTAAGACTTTAATGACTAGGATTAGCAAAATCGTTTCTAAAAGTTTCCTAAAGGTTTTAAGAATACACATCTCCCAATACTGGGAAATGCAATTGGGAATAAAACATAGGACAGGCTGAGTCTAGCATCAACTGTCCATTGATTGTCAAATATGTTTTATTAACCTTTCTTCTAACTTCAGTAACTTCTGGCAAACAGTTTGACAAAATCATGAACATTAAGATCCAGAAGTCAGTACCACTCTCAAAACAAAATATTTCGACACTGGAGTCTTACCAGATGCAGTTTGTAGTGTCACACCTGTCGGAACATGAATGGGATAACCAGGAAAAGCAAAGTTTGCACTGGAGTTTGAGGTGCCCTAAATATGAGAAATTTATATTACAAAGATAGAAAAGGCATTCGCTTGCATCTGTCTTTCTCAGAGTCCAAAAACCCGGTTCAGGACAGTACTTTGACAACAGCAACATTGGGGCTAAGTTGTTTATTATTCACGGTCACGGTCCTTTCATTATTCATCGATTTGCTCGAGCAGGCCCAGTAACGTCTCCATCATGAGACTTGTTACTGTGTTTGGCATATTGAATATGTCACAGGTAGCTTGCCAGGCTTTGCTGTGCGGGCGAGATACTCTCAGTAGCTTGCCCTGTTTATTATTATATATTATTAATATTAAATCTCTGTGAGATACACAGTTACAAAGTTGTTCATGATAGGTTTTCAGTCATACAATGTTCCAACACCCATCCCTTCACCAGTGTACATTTACCACCACCAATGTCCCCAGTTTCCTTCCTTCCACCCCCCACTCCCAGTCAGCCTCTATGGTAGACAAACTCTCTCTCTCTCTCTCTCTTTCTCTCTCTCCCTCTCTCTCTCTTCTGTGTCTCTCTCTGTCTCTGTCTCTCTGTCTCTCTTTCTCTCTTCTAACCCCCCTCCTTTGGAGCATTATGCTTTGCAATACAGTAACTGTATATTAGGGCTGAGTTCTTTAAATAAAACAAAAATTTAGTATTGGGTTTGAGACATCTTATTAAGGGATAAAATGAATTATATCCAACCACTATTAGCAAAGAAACCAGTAATTCTTAAAATACAAATACAGGGGCCAGAGGTATCATTTAGTGGCAGTGCATGCTTTGCATGCAGAGACCCTGGTACAATTCCTGGCACCATATGGTTCCCTGAGCACTGCTGGGAGAAACCCCTAAACAACAAACTGGAATAGCTCCAAAGAACTTCCAGGCAGGACTCCAGATTAAAATAAATAAAAATGTTTAAATTTAAATAATATAAATATTGGCTTATAAAACTTGTCTACTCCATTGCTTTGCCCCTGATTCTCAAGAAGTCACATGTAAGAACCACAACTGTTCATTGAAATCCTGCTGTCTTTATGTTGCTCTATAATGGTATTTTCAAGATCACATGCTATTGTGTCAATTTTATTTGGGAATGATTCGACCTTCAGTTTCCTTTGCAGGATGTTTGGGGCCACACCCAGAAGTGCTCAGGAACTACTCCTAACGCCATTCCTCATGGTTCTCGGGGAGAGGCAAGCACACTAACCCCTGTGTCACCTCCCTGGTCTGGCCCTCAACATTTTTTAAATACTAAATTAAATCAAACAGTTCTTTTTTGGGGGGGATCACACCCGAGATTACACAGAGGTTACTCCTGGCTCATGCACTCAGAAATTACTCCTGGCGATGCTTGGGGAACCATAGGGGATGCTGGGAATCAAACCCAGGTCGGCCGCATGCAAGGCAAATGCCCCACCCACTATCACTCCAGACCCAAAGTGCTATCACTCCAGACCCCAAATCAAACAGTTTTGTATCAGTCAGATCTACAAAAATTTAAAACACTGATTAGCAAAAATCAATATTCATAAGGACAGGATAAAAATCACAATCTTGGGTCACTACAAATGTACATTGTACAATTCCTTTGGAGGGCCATTTTGTGATTAAAAACATGAATGATCTCTGATGCAAAAATTCTACTTCTAGGAAGTTATTCTGAAGATCTGACAATAATACAAATACACAAAAATATATCCACATACTTGTGGATTATAATTATACTTAATTAGTGGAATGTCAATTTGGAAAAAAATATTAGAAATAATTTAAGTACCCATTAACAAGAGGTCAAATTGTGATATATCTACAATCTACTAATTACTAACTAGTGACTGGAACTAAAGGCCCATTTAAGGTTAAAGGACTAAGGTTTTTTTTTTTTTTTTTTTTTTTTGCTTTTTGGGTCACACCTGGCGATGCACAGGGGTTACTCCTGGCTCTGCACTCAGGAGTTACTCCTGGCGGTGCTCAGGGGACCATATGGGATGCTGGGAATTGAACCCAGGTCGGCCACGTGCAAGGCAAACGCCCTACCCGCTGTGCTATCTCTCCAGCCCCATGGACTAAGTTTTTTAAAATTACAGAAACACAAGAATCATCCTACTTTTATGAAATTAATGTAATTTTCTTTTTATTGAAATAGGGACCTCATCTAGGTCCCTATAGGGCTGGAGCGATAGCACAGCGGGTAGGGCGTTCGCCTTACAAGCGGCCAACATGGCCGACCCGAGTTCGATTCCTTCGCCCCTCTCGGAGAGCCCGGCAAGCTACCGAGAGTATTCGATATGCCAGACACAGTAACAACAAAGTCTCCAATGGAGACGTTACTGGGCCCGCTCGAGCAAATCGACGATCAACGGGAGGGCCTTTACCTTTACCTTATCTAGCAGTACAGAAATGAAGGGATTCTGCAAATCAATCAGGTTTTTTAACTTGGTTTTGTTTTGTATTTTGCAATGCCAGGCTAGAACCCAAAGCCTTATGCATGCAAAGCATAACTCAACCACTCAGCCACACCCCTAGCCCTGATATGATTGCCATGAAAGACTTGCAAAAGGAGAGCCGGAGTGATGGTACAGGAAAGGGGTTTGCCTTACAAGCAGCCAACCTGGGTTCAATCCCTGGCACCCTTTATAGTCCCCCCAACTCCTTCCAAGGCTGATCCCTGAGTGCAGAACAAAGAAAAATCCCTGAGTACTGCAAAGTGTGACCCAAACACCAAATTTTTTTAAGTTGTAAATGGATATAAATCAAAAACTTAATATAATTATCCTTAAGTGTACAAGGCTTTCTACTTTTACTTTGTAATTTTTTAAAACTTTTTACATGTATATTTAAAAGATTTTTTTGAGTAATTTCAAAGGCAGTGAGTTTTCTTCACTAGTTTATTAAAAGCAACACCATTCTCCCCAAATACCTTACTGAAGGGCGCAGTGTTTGCTTTGTATCAATGAACAAACGAGATTAAATGGCCTACTAAAACTTTGAACCTGAGAATCGTAGTTCATGGGGGCCAGAGAGATAGTACAGTGGGTAGGGCGCTTGCCTTGCTCACAGCCAACCTGGTTCAATCCCCAACACCCCATATTGCATCCCAAGCCCTCCAGAAGAGATCCTAAGTACAGAGTCAGGAAATAAGCCCTGAGCATCACTGGGTAAGGTAAAAAAAAAAAAAAGGTAGTTCATGAGCTGAAAGAAAATGAAAACTGTTAGTGGATTATATGACACTGACACCATGGAAGAAAGGTAAGAGAAAATATGATACATTCCTTGCTAAAAACTACTCAGTTTTCTCTGTTTAAATGTCTTATTTTTTAAATTTTGTCACTGAGAAATGACAGTTATTCATGATTGGGGTTCAGGCACACAATGTTTCAACACCAATCTCACCAGTGCCCCCCCATACACATACACACACACACGCACACACACACATACACACACATACACACACACACATACATTGTGCCACTCCGCCAGCAGTCTGTGTGGAGTGAGAGGCACTTTATCTGCAAATTTTAGTTCTGTGATGATGCACTATCAGTACTGTTACTGATAGTGCATCATACATAACACTGACACCTTTCAGCACCCGAAATGTCATTTGCTTGTTGTCAAATCCTAGTGGAGGAGAAACTTATACTCTAAACTCTGTTACCCAAAGGGTTAAAAATGTCTAAATAACATCATTTCACAATGCTTTTTCAGCATGGCTGATTGGGGGGGGAGGGGGTAAACTCTAAATAATAATGGTGCAACTTTTATTGAAACAATGAAGCTAGCCAAAGTAGATAGTGTTAACTAGAATTCATCTGCCCCACAGGCATTGGGGGGTGGGGGTTTATTGGGGTTCTTCGTGGTGAAAAATAAGTATTGGTAAAGGGAAATGTGATTGATATTTGCATGACCGAGACCTAAACCTGAAAGCTTTGTAACTTTTCCCACAGCGATTCAATAAATAAATAAATAAATTTTTTTTAAATGTCTAAATAAATGATGGGAAGAAATGACTTAAATAATGAGATGAACAGGTGGCTTAGCTCCTAAGGAGAGAAAATAAATACAGAATCAAAATCATCTCTTTATGATTCGCCATATCTATAATATTTTACAATATATTAAAACTCCACACAGTGGGCCAGAGAAATAGGCTTGAGGCTATGGCATTTGCCTTGCACACCACCAATCCAGGAGTGATGCCTCAACATTGGGCCAGGAATAAGCCCTAAGTACAGCTGGGCATGCACCAAGAAAAAAAAAAACGACAGACATTCCCTACCCTTGTATATACAGTCTTAGCAGATACTAACAGACCACTCTAAAAAACCTGACAAGGAACTATCAATTCTGGGCGAGGGAGTGTTCAAAGGCTGGTTTGCATGCAGACGCCAGATTCAATCTTATAGTATGATTCCCTAGTACCACCAAAAGTGATCCTGGTAACCCCAGCATGGTCTACCCAGCCCAACAGTCCCACAGTGCCAGACTCAAGTCCCAAACCTTCAGGCCTGTATGACCAGACCAAGTATCCCAGCAATGACCCCAAGTCCCCTGAGCACTGCTTTTAAAAGGAAAATAGTTCTGAAAGTCCTGAAGTACCTTTTGGTACTTTTGGTACTTCTGTGCTATAACAGCTATTTCTATCTCCCCATCCAATACTATATCTTTTCCCAGTTGTCTGAAGGACTGAAAATATGTTCAGGACTTCTCCCACCAATTGCTGAAAGTAGGGCATTATCTTTTAAAATATGTTTTAAATAAGTTACCTACCAGGTCTGTTGTAGTAAAAGTGGGCAGAGTTCTACCAGCAGGAAAAACTAAGGATGCTGCATAGAAAACAAATTATCATTACACCTTCATTGGAATTTACCAATTTAATTAAACTGCTAAAGAGCTTACTCTTCTTAAAAACATTTTTCTATCACTAGTATGTTGAACCATAATAAATTCTGTTTCCTGAATCCAATCATGTTAAAAAATAATTTTAAAGTATAGTTCTCAAATAAATTTATATTTGAATTTGTTCACAAATATTCCCAACTAAATTACCAATTCCCAATTTAATTCCCAATTAAATATCTGTAAGTTATTGTTCTCTAGAACTCTTTAGGAAAAAGAATAAGCTGTCTTTACTAAATCAATGTAGCACTAACTCACCATTGGAACTTCTCAATGGAGGAAAGTTGTATTTGACACACTTCCAACTATACTATGCCTAAACATAAGAACCCCATCATAAACTCATCCTAAACTATTTGAGTGGGTCCAGTAATGTCTCCATCATGAGACTTGTTGTACTGTATTTGGCATATTGGATATGTCACGGGTAGCTTGCCAGGCTTTGCCGTGCGGGCGAGATACTCTCAGTAGCTTACCGGGCTCTCCAAGAGGGGCTCAGCCAGGCTGGCTGCGCGCAAGGCAAATGCCCTACCGCTGGGCTATCGCTCCAGCCCATTATATATCCTAAACTATGTAAGTCCAAAATAAATTTCAATCTCTTCAGTCCATGAAACATTATTTATAGAACACTATGGCCAAGTGAGCAAATAAAGCTACATGGAGTTTGGAGAAGGCATGAATGGGAGCACATATTCTTGGCATCGACCTCAATGTGTGTTAGCAGATGATACCTAAAGAAACTGTGTTCGTAAGCTCAAAGGAATGCTACTCTGCCTTCAACAGCGAAGAAACCCTGCCTTTGGCATAAACAGAACTTGAAGTGATCAGGCCTAGTGAAATAAGAAACCAAAATGTTCCGCATATATGAGCTATACGTCATGAAAGCACCAAAAAAAACAAACGTGGGGGCTGGAGAAGGCCCGGTGCTCAGAGCCCCGCTTGAGTCCCACCTCCAGAACGTCCCACATGGCACTGCAGGCTGAGCTCGCTGCCCTGAGTCCCTGGCCCCAGGGACCCTTTCAGCCACATCACAGCCAGGGGTATGTGAGCACAACCGAAAAAGGTGCAAGCATCAGGGCCAAGAGCTCTGAGCCTTGAGAAGTCTGGTGTGAGCACCACAGGTAATGACTGCAACCCTGAGCGGGCACTGCAGAAAAGGGTGCAAGGAACGTGAACAGCCAGTAAGCAAGTGTGCAGTACAGCAGCAAAGGAAGGCCAGCACCTTGGTCAGCCGTGTGAGCACTGGAACTGACGTGGGGCCGCAAAGACCACAACTATAGCTGTGAACACCGCAGGGATGTGTGTGATCCTGCACACACTGAAGCAACAGTGACAAAGGGGACACACATGCACACACACACACACACACACACACACACACACACACACACACCCTAGGTCTAGTGAAAACCATGCTGGTCAGAGAGAAATGGAATCAGAAAAATAAGTAGAGGGATCTTCTGAGAGAGGGATGACAGTTGAGCACTTGTAGTGGATATAGTGAGGCCTTAGACACACAGAGGTATTAGACTATACCCCTGAAATCCTGTAGTATTATAAAACAGTAGTAAATCAAATTTTAAGGAGGGAAAAACAATTTTTTTTAATTTAAAAAAATAAAAAATCAAAAAAAATTAAATTAAAAGAACATTTCTTTCTGTTCTTCACTTAAAAAGAGAAAAGATAATCTCTCCTGAAGTGCCTGCATCAAATAGATACAAGTGCTAAGAAAACTTAGAAAAATTATCAAGAAAACACCAAGTCAACCTGCATTAAAGCTGAAATCCATATATATTATCTACCAATTTTCTATTCTAACTACCCCTTCATTTATAATAAATTTATAAGTTTGGCCAAATGGTTATAAATGTAATCATTAAGGAGTCTAAAACGTTGGTCAGGAGATATTGGCATAATGGCAGAGCGCAAGACGCATGAGCTTGAGGTCCTGGGCTCAATTCCCCAGACAAAAAAAAAGAAAAACACGAATAAAGAACAAAGTGTTACTCCAATAGAAGGATCTCCGTTGGTCAAAGACACCTTAAAGTTTACCTCAAGGTACATTATACCAATCTGAACGACTGTTGGAATGGGATTTTACCTATTCTTTAATAAAAACAAGAATTTTCAACTTTGAAAGAACTTATGCAGCACATATGCATCAAACATAACGTTTATTATGACCTTCTTTGAGATAGTTCATTGATAAAAATAGCCCCAGAGAACTCTTTCTGACATGAGAATGACTCCATCATATACAACAAATAGCTCAGAAGAGCAAATATTTTTTAAACTCATTATTTTCCATGTTAAAAACAACAAAATTGAGACAGCAGACTGATGGTTAATGAAGCACAAAATTATTTTTATCCTCTGATCATCTAGAACTTTGCTTATTAAGAAGCATGATTTTAGAAAGGCTAAATTAGAAAGAACTGGAATGTCAGTACACAATGGTCTGAGTCTTAATTAGCGAAAGTGAACAAAGCTTAAACGGGTCTAGCTTAAGTCATAGCCTGGGAGGAAACAGAACTCTGTGAACAGACTGTCTGAAGCAATTAAATGAATTTCTTGAGGAAAAGTAACAACAACCCCCTTCTTTTAAATACCTTGCAATAAATCCTAAAGGATAATTCTCTATTCTTGTATAAATTAAATGGAACGATAAGAGTTTTAAGAGATTCTTTATAGCTAGCCATCAGAATAAAAACATTGAACTAACAATGTTTTATAGTGAAGTTTTATGCAGTTCCTACTTAGTTTTAATACTAAATTTATAAGTTATGGGCACAGTTTATGCATGGTCACAAATTATACATGCCATTCTATATGCCTGAAATGATTTTAATGACCAAGTTTTAACTGACTGTGCATTTACTCAGAAGACTCAGAATTTGGTCCTCATGTATATAATCTAGAAATATTGAATTTCACAAAAAGACTTAGCATTTGGAAAGAATTCGATCCCACAAACACAATATAAGAAGCTTTATAGAGGGACCAATGGCTTGTGTACTTGCTTTGCATGCAGCCGCCCCAGGTTCAATCCCTGACATCCCATGTGGTCCCCTGAGGGGAGATCACCAAGAGAGATCTCTGAGTGCAGAGACAGGAACAAACTCTGAGCACAGCTGGGTGTAATCCAAAATCAAAAATATTTTTAAAATAAGGTTTACTAAAACACAGCTTCATGGGCTGAGAAGAGAGTGCAAGTGGGAGAGCGCACTGGTGGCACCCGTGAGGCCCTGGGTTCAGTCCCCTGAACCACATGGCTCCCAAGCACTGCAAAATGTGACCCTGTTACCGAAAGCACCAGCAGATGGCCCCCATCCAAAAAAAAGACATCTGGTACCACTACATTAAATATTTTTAATTTGATTTCTCCCCAAATGTGCCAAAAAAGCTTTCCTATTAAGGCAGTTAATAATTTCACAATATTTGTAGCTCTGCCTCGAATCATTACAAATCTTAATGTTCAACTCAATGCAAGAAGAGCAATTTCTTCTTTGTGATCAACTAGTACATGGATAAGCAAACTGAATAATATCCTAATTAAAAATCAATGAAAAAAACAATAGTCATGCTGAAAATTTTTCATCAGATCTTAAGTTGAAGAACAATTGGATATTTTAAGTTTTTGCTTAAAATTTCAATATTCTGGGGCTGGAGCAATAGCACAGCAGGTAGGGCGTTTGCCTTGCATGTGGCAGACACCCAGTTCGATTCCTAGCATCCCATATGGTCCCCTGAGCACTGCCAGGAGGAATTCCTGAGTGCAGAGTAAGTAGTAATCCCTGAGCATCGCCGGGTGTGGTCCAAAAAGAAAAAAAATATTCAACATTCTAATGCCCAAAGATGAAAGTCACCACAAATTGCTTATTATTCCTGTTCTTCCTCTCATAATGACTGGGGACTTTTTTTAATGTGGCGTGGAAACTAAATAGGTTTCAGTTGCTCTAAAAGCATAGATCTCAATTTGCTCGGGAAAATTCTAGTTTACACCTGCTGTTCTGAGTTAGTTGTTAAAATCCAACTTGAAAAAAGGCACATCTGACAAGGGAATGTTATCCAAAATGAACAAATATTTGGGGGCCACACTCGGCAGTGCTCAGGGAACCAGGGTTGGCCTAATGCAAAGCAAGTGTCTTAACCCCTATATTCTCTCTCCGACACCCTCAGAAAAATTAAAATTCAATCATAAGAAAACAATCAAAGGTTTAAAATATGGACCAAAAATATATAGTAGAAGACTAATCTCCTTAGCCAGGGAAAACAGGGGCTAGGAGGACTGGTCAATGGTTAGAACTGACCACAAGTGTGTGTGGGGCTGAGGGTAGGTAAGATAGAGAAGAGACCAGTATGACAATAGCAGCAGGGAATGATCAGGCTGGACAAGATCTGAGGGTTAAAAGTAGGTAAAGAGATTTTCATAATAACCTTTCAGTATCAATATTGCAAACCACAATGCCCAAAAGGAGGAAGAGAGGGGGGAGAGAGAGAGAGAGAGAGAGAGAGAGAGAAGAAAAGTGCCTACCATAGAGGCAGGCAGGGGGTGGGGGTGATAGAAGGAAACCTGGGGACACTGGTGCTGGGAAATGTACACTGGTGTGTATACATTTAGGGGTGTACATGGAGGGATGGGTCTTGGAACACTGTGTGAACAGCTTTGAAAGGGTTTATCTCATAGTGATTCAATTAAAAAGTTAATATATATAACATATATTATATGTATTATATATATGGATATATATATATGGGCCAAAGACCTTAACAGACTGGACTGCACACCAATAAAAATAATATGCAGATGGCAAACCCCTCACCAAAGCAGACAAACGGCAAGTCACATACAGGAAGATGTGCCACCATCACACTGACATCAGGGAAATGCAAATAAAAACAATGAGCTGCCAGCAGGACCGTACTA